GAAGCGCAATAGGAATGTCATGATCGGAGTCTGATTGAATAGGTACTGATGGATCTGCAGACGAAGATGACACTGGTGGAGAATCTGGTCGTTCTTGACGCCTATGATATACCTGAACAATGGGAGGTCGAGTATCTTCGGAAGGAGGTGTGGGTACCTAAACACTGGGTGGTTGAGTATCTTCTGGATGAGGTGTGGGTGGTCGAGACTCAGGTGGATCAGGTAAGGCAGGAGACTCAGAGCTGGATRYGGTGTATAGAAGCAAGTCATCATCCGTATCCCTTTGTGGAGACGAAGGAGATACGGGAAAGAATGGTAAGTTCTCATGAAAGGTAACATCACGAGAGACAATGTATCGGTTGAGTGTGGAACAAAAACACCTATAACCCTTCTGTAGTCTGGAATAACCAAGGAACACACACTTTAAGGACTTAGGATCAWGTTTGGTTATACCCGGACGAGTATCACGGACGAAGCACGTACTACCAAAGATCTTCGGCTCAACGGGAAAGAGGGGTTTCGCTGGAAATAAGACCGAGAATGGAGTGTCTCCATTCAGGACAGTAGACGGCATCCTATTTATCAGAAAACAGGCCGTAGCGACAGCGTCAGCCCAAAAGGGCTTGGGAACAGACATTTGAAACATTAGGGCTCTCGCCACCTCAAGGAGATGACGATTCTTTCGTTCGGCTACTCCATTTTGGGCTGGAGTATCAACACACGAGGATTCATGAATAATACCATTTTCAAGCATATAGGACTGAACTGATTGAGACAGGTACTCCTTTGCATTATCACTACGCAAGACTTTTATTGATGTTTGAAATTGCGTTTTGATCTCAGAGTGAAAGGAACACAGATGATTAAATACTTCTGATCGATTTTTCATCAAATATAACCAAGTAGTTCTGGAATAATCATCAACAAAAGTAATAAAATATCTGAAACCAGTTTTAGACGTGACAGGACACGGACCCCAAACATCAGAATGTACTAATTGAAATGGGGATGCAGCCTTGCTTATTGACTCTAGGACTCAAGTGGATACGTTGATGTTTAGCAAACTGACATGACTCACATTGTAAAGAAGATAAATAGGAAAATTCAGGACAAAGTTTCTTGAGACTCTGTAAGGATGGATGACCTAGTCGACAATGTACTTCGAAAGCAGATGCAAGACTGAAACTTGTCAAGGAGTATGGTATACATTGTTCAAATATATATAGGCCATCTGACTCCCGTCCTCTACCAATAATCCTCCTCGTCTGCAAATCCTGAAATACACAGTAATCAGGAAAGAATTCAACACTACATTTTAGACCACGAGTAATTTTGCTAACTGACATTAAATTGAAAGAAAAGTTCGGTAGGCTCAGAACTGAATGYAGCGAGACAGATGATGACAGTTTAATTGTGCCTGAACCATCCACTTGGGATAGATTTCCATCAGCAACTGTAACTTGGGCTGATGGGGCATGTTTGGTAAAATCAGAGAGAAGATTAGAATTACCAGTCATATGATCTGAGGCACCCGAATCAATGACCCATTTGGAGGAGGATGACACAAGGCATTTACCAGAGTTACCTGTTTGTATCAGCAAACGCAGCAGTAGAAGTAGTGGGGTTCTCATCTCCACGAGAATGAGAATGGGCATGCTCCTCTTTAACAGTGCTATTTAGCGTGGTTGCAGAGTGGGCAGATGATAGCCTCTGATTTCTGGCCAACCGCTTCTGACAGTTGAACTTTGTATGGCCTAACTCATGGCAGTAGTGACACTCGACGTGACTAGAGTCAGAGCTAAAGCCTCGTGGATCTGTTGCCCGATCATTGTGACCTCTAAAGCTCCCTCGAGAACCTCCGCGAGGTCCTCCTCGGTATCCACCTCGACTGACCAAGGCAGCATGATGATCGGGAGACTGAGCAGACTGAAMGTCCTCATTTCTAAGGACCCGAGCGAATGTCTCTTGAAGAGAAGGGATCGTTGATTCGTTCAAGAACTGTGATCTGATGGAATCAAATTCTGGTCGTAGACCACTCAGAAAGCTTATGACAGCAATTTGCTCCCTTTGAGTCTGCATAGCTTTCACATCAGTGCTCAAAGGAAGGAGAGAATTCATCTCCTCATA